GGGGGGGGGAAGTGAGCAGCCCCCTCACACCATACCAGGACTGGAAAAGCACTGTGTCCCTGTGCTGATTGGGACAAGGGCCTCTTCCCCACAAGCCCTGGGGCGTTGGTTGTGGGGGTCTGAGGGCAGGGGGGCTTATTTTACAAAATCAGCACAGAAAGAACATTGGGTCTCATATTTGAAAGTATCTGGGAAAATAATTGTTTCAATCAGTATTGTCCACAGCAACTCATGAAGTTTTTCTCTTCTGCTAAAAAAAAAAGAAACAAATTGGAGGATCTGTTTGTGGCAAGTCTTCCTTCAGACACGGTCATAACATTGTGAACTTCTTGGTGGGACTGTTCAGATCACATTTTTCTTTAACACTGCAGTTAGCATAACCAGAGTAACAGGTTTCTTATTGTTTAGATAAAAAGCTGTGCTACTTACCTCAGAATCAACTGAACTTGAGCTGCCCCAAGCATTGGGCATTCTTCATTAAATGCCACATCTTCACAAGGCCTGGGAGACCAAGGAATAATATTAGAACATGGAGGAAACTGATAGTATGCTGACATTACCAATACCGTAGTGTACTTTAAAAAACCATAAACTTTTTGTGCTAAATTTTTCCTGTGAAAATCGTCCCATATCATTGGCTACCTTGGCCGTAGATAAATTCTGTTTCCAACAGGATGACCTTTGCTGTACACAAGCTGTTCCTGGCCACCATTTTAGATGGGAGACCTGATCTACACTGAGCTGAATGTGGGATCTCTCAGGTTCGCAAGAGAACAGCAGGATACAGTATGCAAGCCAGGAAGCAAGTCAGCAGAACAGGAAGCTGCAAGCTATATCTTCATAGGCGTTTGAGAAGGTACAAATGTACATTTGTTTTGTGAAAGTACAGGTAGGTCTCAATTTACGCCAGAATTAGGTTCCTGAAGGAATGGTGGCAAATAGAAACCGATGTAAATTGAAACCCCGTATATAATGTAGTAAAAAGTATATATGAGGGAGTTAGGTTCCAGGCCGCTCTCAAAAATGACACAAGTGACATAATACATTATATTTAAATCGTTGAAAAGAATGTTATGAATGCTAAATAACCACACAACCCAGTATGTATCTTCAAATTACGTTTAATGGTAAAAAAAAACTGATTGAATCTAATTCTGCACAGTATACTGCAAATCAGTTTTATTCCTATTTTGTCAAAGGAAACCTGTTAGGATTGAGATTTCTAAAATAAGCAGACTCTGAGGCTATCATTTTGATCCTGCCTTCACTGCCTGGAATGACACAAACCCAAAACAAGCATGCAGGCAGTGAATGAGGAAAGGTCTGAAGTTCCAAAATGCATTCTTGTTCCACATCACTGACCTGCTTGGTAATGAAGTTAGGATTGGATGACAGCCCTAAAGCCCGCACCTTTAAAACAAGTCAGCAATAGCAGCTCTGTTGCCTTTGCACTCAAAGGGGGTGATTTACTAACCTAAACACACGCACGCACTAGGTGAGTGTGATTTTTACACAGCAAAACTTATTTATCAACCAAAAAGTCTAAAAAAGCACATTTCCACTAATGCCATACATGGAAAAATCATGCACATGATGCATATATAATGCTGCTTCACAGTTTAGACAAAAATGGTTAGCTCATGCATTTACATTCCTGCATTCATCAACGCAAGCAACACAACATAGAGCTAATTTACACAACATCACCTTGCAAATTCATGCTTGGCTTTGCACAACACACCTGCTGGGTGTGTACACACTATAAAGGTGTTTAGATTCCACCCATAGATCATGCTGGGAGGGAACACACTACAGAGGTGTATACATGTTCGTGGTGTGTTTATAAGGTTAGTAAATCAACCCCAAAGACTCAGTTCAATAAGAAAAAAAAACACCCTTTGCTCCCTCTAATATCTTTGATACTTACAGTTTTGCACATGCCTCATATACACCGCTGTCTCCAGCCACAGACTCATCAGACACTGCCGCAGAAACACAAGCTGCCTTCTCTTCCTGCATGTCGCCCGCTGACTTTCTTGGAAAACTTACATCTAAAAAAAAAAAAATCACATAAAAGAAAACACATAATTAACATAAACAAATAAACATAACTGTGCCGCCCCAACAGGGGCATAGAATATGAAATGCATAGCCTCAGTTAATATTAGCATTGTTATATAGGTTAGAATTTATATAGTGTGATTTGCCTAACTATTTTCTCATAGCTAAATTCATGTGTTATCCTATGCTGCCATCTAGTGGCCTTTTGTTGTAACAAACATGTTTTCTGTAATTATTCCTCATGTGACGATGTATTTTCCCCTAGTGTAGCCCCTTCCTGCTTCCTGTGTGCAGTACTTCCTGTGTCAGGCCACAGTTGAAAGCCACATGTAACAAGGACACACAGGTAATCTGCACAGTACGGAGGAAAGGCATAATTTTCTGACCGCACAATACTATAACCGTTCAACTGCTGTTCCTATCATCTGCTGTAACCTGATGTAAAGAATAAACACCTTTTTTGAATGAATCGGTATTGACGAGTTCAGCTATCTGACGAGGATTGTCCGCAGTGAGTATATCTGCTTATACAGGACAGGCATAGAGGTCTCAGCAAGGGATATATCTCGCTATCACAACGATCGGAGTCAGAATAATAACCTTTATTCATAAAACCAGAAGCAAATGGGGGAAATAACTTGGAACAATCATAGAGAAGAAGGGGTTTTTGTTAACATGTTTTATTCTAAACCATTAGAATTCTGTACAAGCGACTTAGACTTTATTTCATTGGAATGATGTATGGAGCACAGAAGACATTACATAAAAATGTATCTTTACACAGAGACACTTGCTAAAGAATTCCATAAAAGGTGGCAATGGTAAAATGGTGGCTTGTGGAAGTTCACTATTGTATGTTAAGCAATTATGCAACAGTGACCTCTACAAACTGAAGTCTGAAAATTCACTGTAAGAACAAGGGACCACAACCGCTGCAACCCTGGTAGTTCTTGTGAAAATGCCAAGTATCGGCACTGGTATCTGAACATCCCTAATTATTAGGTTACGTGATAATTGTCTAATCATATCATTCTAGAGAAATTTATTTTTATGCTTTGAATATAGAATGGCAGCTTCTCGGGGTTCAACTTATGCAGCCAAGATCGCAAGTTCTCTGACTGCCAATTATTTTGCAGAAAGACTACAGTTTTCAAAACATCAGTGAGATAAAAGGACTTAACTGGTTTCCCCCATGTATAGTCAGAATTGCAGTGCTTTTAATACTTTCATATACATTGATACGACTGTTTGATCTCTTTCACACGTATGGCTAACAACATGCAAAAAACTACAGTTCCACTCGAAGATGCCCACAAACATAACATGATCGTTGCCCAGTTGTAAACATTTTGTACACATTGAGCTACGACCTCCAGTCTATGCTGCAAACAGATACAGGCCAACAGATCTTGGGGAAGAAAGCAATCAGACAGTTTGAAAATCCTTGCTCGGTTTCTCTTGGCTCCCACAATAGTAAGAAACCCCATTGAGTGCCTGTATCATGTTTGCACCATACTCCTCTGCCCTGTCCAGAAGGACAGATAATAATAATAAGCTCCTGAGAGTTTGTGTTTATGAACACAGTATCTGATTATTTTGCCCCAAGAAAGGTCCAATCGTACCTGTGCCTTCTATTAGTAACTATATAGCCACAGAAACCAGCTATGGATTTAAAAAGCCTGTCAGTCTTTATAAAGATCAGTATTTATAAAGTACTTAAATGCTTTGCTTAAAAACATCTTTTCATTTCATAATTTTAAGGAAAAAATATTAATTTACTAATTTCATAGATGATGTACATCTATTACCCACATTTTAAGCCTACTTATTAGTTTAAGCAAAGAAAATAAAGAAATATGATTTTATTTAAAAAGGCAAATGTTCAAAAGAAACCTCCCCATTGGTTACATCTCCATTTGTCAAAAACCCCCTGTATTATCCCGATAACCGTATTCCACCATGCGTTCCACCTTTCACCTTTTCATCTGTAACCCATATTCGTAGGCGAGTCCCCTGCAGTGTGCCAAAAGTCTTCATTTAAAGGCACATTGAGAAGTTCCATAAGGGGCTTTCATCCACGACTGAGAAAAGTGTGTTGGAATGCACTGTGCTCCCTTCTGAGCACAACCCTTACATCTTGTTAAGATGTTTAAAGTTCTCTGCATTTGATTGTCGAATGTCTTTCTTTAAGGTGTAACAGGAGAATGCTGATTTCTCTCCCTTTTAATGATAAAGAAGCTTTTTATATAGTCTCATGTGAAGGGGTGAAGGTGGTGACATGATTTATTGATTACCCGCAGGAATATACGCAGCCGTCCTGAAACTCTGGCAATGACAGACAGTGACTGGAAGGACTTCACAGTCATTGTGACTTGCATCATGCCAGCAGAAACTTGTGTCGAGTCTCGCTTAATGGCAGGGAAGGAGGATTCGGATTCACCTTGTAAAGGCGCGGGACATAAACACACACACAGGCATGCTGAAAATAGTCACGATGAAAGGCGTTTTTCCCCATTTCCTGCAAGCAAAACAGGTGCTAGTGACAGATTAGCACTTTGGATGGGACACAACCTATTGCAGATAGGTACGATATAGCTGCTGATTGTTCCTGAATTCCAGAAGGTGTTAAGGATGGTTTATGTATCCCTGTATCCCCCAGTGTTCACAACCAATGAACTGACCAATTAATTAGTAGTTTTCCACTAGTTCATTAGAACTATCATCCTGGGTTTAAAGTGCAAGTAAACCCTAACAATGAACTTATTTATTTATTATTTATTACAGGTATTTATATAGCGCCCACATTTTACACAGCACTTTACATATTGTACATGCACATCAGTCCTTTTTCATCCATTAGTAATGAAGTAGGCAGGGCTGACAACACGTGCTTAGGAATTCAGAGCTGTGTTGTCATGGCAAAGTAGAAGGAAGAAGCACACTATATGTAGTTATTTTTTGTACTTGCAGTTTGCATACAATACACTGTCCAGGGGGTGGAGAGAGATATACACGCATTGCTTGCACAGCACAAAGGCACGTTACAGTCAAAATGTATGAAAATTGGTGTCAAGTATAGATTGTAAGGGGTATGGCCTACTTTACAATCTGCTTAGTTGTACTGCTAAATATTCCAAAGTACTATTCCATGCAACCCGATTTGAAGCCTGTAAATTGATTGTGGGAATTGATCTCAGAGTAGATCTGAAACTTATCAAGTTAATTTATTAACTTTATTTGCACAGCCAGATATTCTGAATAGAAAGGTGACAGTAGTTGTAGCAGACTTGTTTTATGGGGCCCCGAGTGGTAACATTCATTAAATAAAAAAAGATTTGTTTGAAAGGTCATTTGGGGTAAATATAGAGATACATTTCCAGTGTTTTAAATGGGTTTTATGGAATATGGTACTTGTTATCAGTATGAAGATTTGATATATAGTACTTATGGGCTTTTGTAATAAAACACATCTCTGTACAGTTCGATCCATTGTAAAAATCATCCTATAGCAGATATGGCCAGGTTTAGCCTTATGCTTATTCAGGGCCAGAAAGTTTTATTGCAATCCATGAAAGATCTGTGCTGCAGATGTTCCAAGGATACGTAGAGCGGTTGTTTAGCTTCAGCATTTGGAGCTAGCTACAGAATTCACTAGCTTCAGTAGATACTCACATCCAATGCAGCCCAGAGACGTGTTACAGGCCTTGGAGGACAATAATCAGCAGTGCATTGTTTACAATATTCTGTATGGTCTCAAAAAACATCTTCTCTGCCAAGTCTTCTACAATGATGGTGTGCTGGCACCAAACTCCACAATACTGTGTGCTGGAACTTTACAGTACGATTGTAAAGGAAGAAAGAGGGATCTAAAAATCTCAAGACATAACAATATGTGACTTTTTGTGATAATTATTTTACATGTTTAATGTTATTTATTGTCTTAATGTAATTTGTCTTGTGAGTGCTCCTTTAACTACTTTGGAGATATAAATATTCAGTTTTTGTTTTTCTTACATCTTCTCACAATATTCATATACAAAGTAGGTAAAGAGGCACTCACGGGTCTTGCAGTAGAGGTAAGCCAAAGCATCAGCATTTTATTGTCAATGTTTCAGCAGAGCTAATTTACAATCTAATGCTTATACTTTGATTTATCTCTACTGCAAGACTCACGAGTACATCTATACCTACTTTGGATTTGTCTGGATATTTTTGTGGATGGGCACACGGGCACTTACCTTACAAAATATATATTAGGGATGCACCGATACCAGTATTTCGGTATCGAATACCGATATATTTTGTTTTCGGTACTCGCCGATACCGAATACCCAGTACCGGAAGTCCCATTCAGGAAGCCAGGCGGCGTGTAATGACTCGCCACCCGGCTCCCGATTAGCAGGGAAGCCGTCCCCATGCTTCTCGTCACTAGGTGAGGAGAAGCATGGAGCTGGCTTTCTGGCCAATCAGGAAGCCGGGCGCTGTGTAATGACGCGGCGCTCGGCTTCCCAATTGTCCAGGAAGCTGGCTTCATGCTCCCTCGTCATGAGGTGACGAGGGAGCATGAACCCGGCTTCCCGACCAAATCAGAAAGCCGGGCAGCGTGTAATTATCGGGCTAGCGCGGAAGTATCGGACTAGGCATCTGAGCAAATGCTCGGTATTGGCACCGATACCAATATATCATTAGTGCATCCCTAATAAAAATGTTATATTATACACACACACATATATATATTAAAAAAAAAATGTTTTCTCCACATACATATATAACACGCTGCAAAGGCATACATTAATCACTAATGTTTTTATACAGATAATGATCTATATCGTGTTGTGAATTTGACTGCAGAAGAGACATATACTGTACATTACCCCTTTCTTTAGGCAGCTAATACGGTAATGGCATACAGTAATAGACGTTAATAAACATATTGGCCACAAGATGGCAGAGTAGCACAGCAAACAACTCTGCATTGCCACATTCCTTTTTTTGTTTTCTGTAGACACAAATTACCCCAAATAAGCTGAAGTATTAAATTCACACTGTTTCCATTCAGTAGGGGGTCTATTCAATGAGAAATCATGCTACATTTTTTTGTCTCCGAGTGATACAGGTTTTGAAAACTGCTGCTTAGCAGGCAAGAAACACTAACAGCCATCAGTAGCCAGGTTCGCTTTTGTTTGTATTTGCATAACACCGCATATCCTCAGCTATTTCCACTTTAATTAGATCATTAGATGGGCACATTTAAATGACAGACCTATGTGATCTTAGAATTCACAGCCAAACAGCATCCGAGTTCAAACTGCAGGGCACTTTAGGGCACTGAAAAGGGGCCACTACAGCACCATGGGGGGAAAATTAGACGAGACAAAATGGACATTCCGCAAAACACAAAATCTGACGATTCAGTCTCAGTAGCATTTATAATGACATGATTTTAAAACACATCTAACAAAATTCTTCAAAGCAGATCTAGGGATGGGCAAAGGAAATATGCAGAAGTCTATTTTTAGCTCAACTTTTTGCTGAAAGACATATGCTAGTCGTACAGATCTCGGAGATAGAGGATGCCAAAAGGATGAGAAACAATACAACAGCAAGCATTTATTCCTCCACATTTCACAATCATGCATAACTTGTACAAACGTATATGTGTGGTTGAGACAATCCACTTCCTTCATCACAAACTGACCAGTATTTTTTTTAATTCTGGAATACAAAAGCATATGAACATTCCCTACTATACCACACAGGGCCGTTTTAATAATGAGGCAAGAGGGGAGGATAGAAGGGCCATCCAGATTGTATGCACTAACCACGTAGTATGCTATCCACATGGTTCCTCTTTCATATAATTATAGACACCTTGCTCATTAACAATGCTAAACAATTTCCTTACTATCTAATGATAATTCCTTTCCCAGGCTCTACAATTCAAGGAGCCCTCAAAGGGTATAAAGCTGCCCATACGGGTGATCCCACGATAATCGTAAGGTGTCTGGGCAGCGTGCGATCGCATTTACTGTAAAGTCGCACAACTTTTGTATTACGAGCATGCTAGAAAAGGTTGGTAGCGCTCGCAAGACGAAAGCCGCACGGGCCGAGGTGCGCAAGCGCACACTGCTCGCTCACCATTGCAATCATCTGCAAGCTCTCCCCTCAGCGGGGCGGACTTGCGATGATCGCAAGAACGATCTGCCTGTCCAAGATGGGCAGGTCGTACGAAATTGTAATCACCTTACAACCATCGCACAACGAAAGTCGTGCGATGGTTGTAAGGTGTATGGCCACCTTTAATCAGTGCAAACAGAAACATTTTCTGAGCTTTTCTGGGATACAAAGGGCTTGTGGCTTTATAAAAGTTGGGCACATTACGTAATCACTACCCCATACCTGAGGTTGCCTTCAAGTAAATGTATTAAAAGAATGACTTCTCGGTGCACAGTAGGCAAGCTCCAGTGCTTCACCGTGTCTTCTCCAGTCTGAGGGTTATAGCAGGGCTGCATTTACACAACATGCTGCCATAGGCACAAGTGAATGCTGATGTCCTTTTGTACATCCCATTTGTAAGATAATGGGGGTTATTCACAAAGGAGCCAAAGGATCCAGCCGTAGCTTCGGCTGATCCTTCAACTGCCGGAGCCCTTCGGTTCGGTCGAACTGAAGGGCTGCTGTACGGGCTATTCACTCTAGCCTGTACAGCAGCCGAGCGGCTCAGCTGAGCCGAACACATATGCTTCGGCTCGGCTGAGTCGTAGTGACAGGCGAAGCGTGAAGAAAGGTCGGCCGAAGCCGACCGATCTCCACACAAATGACAGATGGGCAGAGCTCTGTGCCTCCAGGGTCCAGCGGTGCCTCCAGGGTCCAGCTCAAGACTGCCACTCCCCCCGTCTTCGCTGAGCACTCTGCCAGTGCCAGGACGTCCTACAGCGTTGCGTGTATCCCGCCGGGCCTGCTCGGCTACTTCCTCCTCAGTTGCCTGCTGGGAATTGGAGTTCCCTGACAGGCCTCACCCCGACAGGCCAAACCCCTGTAGCGCTACATCTTCTATTCTTCACCGCTGCCGCAAAGACACTGCAGGCGGCAGCGGTGAAGACGGCAGCGGCGCCACGAGCTGCATGAGGAGCTGCAAGCGGCGGGCCTCCCCTTCTCTCTGGGCCCCCCCTCCGAACTGAAGGCAGCAGATGCACAGCTGAAAACAGCGTTCGGCTCGGTTATTCACTTGGCTGCCTTTGGCAGCTAAGTGAATAACCCCCTAGGCTAGTAAAAACTACTGCTGGTATGCCCTATTGGAGAAAGCATGATGCCTGCTTTATACACAGAGCTATTTATTACCTGTACAGGTCATCAAACAAGAGAAAAGTGAGCTGATATTTATGTTTCCTGAACTCCAGTGAACCTTCATGACCTCTACCCCCTTCTATAGTACTGTTGCTGAATTTCACCAAAAATGTCCTAAGATGTATGGTGAAGGGGACAATATAAGAAAAATGCTATAACAATCTGTACATTTTGCGGTCTGGCGCTGCTTCTCTAACCCTGCTTGCCTTAGACACTGATCCACAAGTGCCATTATAATAAATACAGCCCTGGATGAGAGGTCTCCCGTAGTCTGAAAGACACAGGGACTGGACTTCACTCATCCTCTCAGATTTTATGAATGCATTGGATGCCCACACCTTTATGGTTCTGTACAATTCTATCTGAACTCAAATTGTACAATTGGATTGTAACATGTGTGGCCATGGACATCATCACAACTGCTAAAATCTGACACTGAATATCCAAATCCAAAACTATTTCCAAGCCCTTTATCCTTGCCTGGATGTATTACCCACCCACTTTAAAGGAGACCTATGAGGCGAGTGCTTTTCATTCACCTCATAGTTCTAGCCGACCTGTGACAATGAGACTGTCACAGGTCGGCTCAGTAGATCGGGAGGTGAGCGAACACATACCGGCGTTCGCTCACTTCTCGATCCTGTCACGGCTCTCTGCCGTGACAGGGGAGGGGCTGGATTCCCCCCCTGGATTCCCCCCTCCCGGCTCCGATCTGCCAGCGCTGACTGGCGGAACGGATGGGGGAGGGGGCGGGTACAGCTGGCTCTGCCTCTAGGTAGGCAGAGCCAGCTGTCAGTCACGCAGCTGGGCGGATCCAGACATAATTGTCGGGATCCGCTTCAGCTGCGGCGTCTTAGTATACCGCAAGCAGCAGCTCGCAGTATACTGCGGCGTCTCAGTATACTGAGCTTAGGGTGACGGGAGGACGCTAGTTTGTGTCCTCCCATTACCCTGAGAACTACGGGGAAAAGCCCTGGCCCCATAGTTCTCCTTTAATTTTGGTCCACATATCACTTGTGTTTGAAGGGAATGTATAGCAGTTTTGTGCATATTTTCTTTATTTATTATAGTCAGTTTATTTATTATAAAAAAATGACATTTGTTTTCATTCTATATTTTTTATAAAGTAAATAAATATGAGATAATGCAAATTAATATCTTGCATTTTAAATTCTGCCAGTAGCCAGTTGGAGCCTTAGGCATCATTCGCATGAGACGTGTTGCCCCATGTAGCGTGACGGGCTGGTTTTTGATGTGCACGGAGCTGCAGGAAGAAGTGTGCGGGCAGTTCGTGTATCTCCTGTGTGCACCGGTCAAAACTCACACAACACACACCGCAGCAGAAAGTTTTGACCAGTGCACACAGCATACATGATGGATCCAGGTCCCTACACCATCTGTGTGCTGCTATCAAAACATGGAGCTGTGGGAAGCTCCTGCGTCTCTACCGAGTAGAATAAGCTGCCCATATGCTTCTTTACACAGCTTCAGGTGCATCAAAAAAACAGGCCTTCATGCTGCACGTCCAGTTTCTTCTAAACTTCTGGTAGAAACATCTTGTAGTTTACAGCGCTCAGTAGCTCAAGGTGCTAATCCAGTACTAAATCCAACAGTAGTGTTAAAGTTAGTCAATGCAACCCTAAAGATATCTAGAGAAAGTATTTGTTTTGAGTGTAAAAATAAAAAAATACCAACAAGGAGAAAGAGACCATCTTAAAATAGCCACAGCAGGAACTCAAGCACAGAGGTCTCACCAACAGAGTCTCTTAGAGACATATGAAACCATCAGAGAGGCCAAGTCGACTATCCCATTCATATCTATAGAGCTTGTAGTCACACTGGAGCATCCAGAAAAAAATGTAAAAGGAGCTTGTGCAGTGTAACCACGCTGCATCCGAAGTCTGATTTAGGGTATAATAGATGAAGGGAGGGGTGTACAGGGTTTTTCTTTTTAGTTTTGCATAGAGTAGGGAAGGGTTAGTGCCCATATGTTTTTTGCCAACTGTGTCAAATACAGAGGTAGAATCTCCCCAATAGGCAAAGACAACAATAAAAGCCAAAGAAGGGGGTTAAACTCTTTAATACTACTATCCAATCTAATTAAACCCCTTCATGACTGAGGCCTTTTTTTCATTTTTTGCACCCATGTTATATTCAACATTTTAGGCCTGAAAATGACTTAAAACCCCCAAACATTATATTTTTTCTGAATTCCAAGACCCTATAGAATAAAATGGTGGTAGTTGCAAATAGCTGCCCCTTCTTCTGGACACAGAAGCGATCTGGTGACAGGTAACTCGCCAGAATCGCTTCCGTTGTAAAGCCGACAGTCGGCTTTACAAGTTTAAAACAGAGCTTTTGCCGCCGGGAGTCTGTTTAAACAGCCCCGATGATGGCGACGTACACTGTACGTCGTCAGTCACGAAGGGGTTAAAATGTGGCTTTAGATACACTAAGTTGTGTTAAGAATTGCACATAGAATTAAGGAAGGACTCACCTCTACTTTCTTCATGTAATACAGTATTCTCCCGATGTCTTATACTCTTTTCCTCAGGTAGGGGTGGTGATAGCTCTGTAACAGAGTCCAACAAATGCTGATTTTCACAGATGCTCATTTCAGAGAATATCCCAGGTAGCTCACAGCTTTCAAAATCTGTACCAATGGAGTCCTGAGTAGGCAAGGAGAAGACTCCTTCCAATACTGGGGGAGAGCCTGGTGGGGACAGGGATGAAAGTGATGACAGGGAAGAGAGTGAGGTCACAGACTTGGGAGGTTTAGATTCTTGCGGGTCTTCTTGAGCAGTGGTTAGATTGCTATAGTCGGAGCTGCCGTGGCAGTGGACAACCTCGTTTTCGTGGATTGTAGTAATTGGCCCAGATGGAATGTAACTGCTCTTCTCCTGCAGCATGAAGTCCAGCTTATACTGATAGTCCAAGTCTGCAGCAAGGTCACCTTGGTTATAATAGAGGTCAGTAGAGCTCAGAGAATTCAGAGAGCCTCGGCTAGAGGTGTTTAAAGATCCTCGACTGGATGCTAAAGAGCCAAGGCTGCTGCCTGATGAAACCGACAATGTGCTGGCAGAGAGGCTGAAAGGGAAACACAAGAGAATATCACTCTAATTAAGCCAGAAATACAAATCTTACAAGCTAACAAAACTATAGCTAAATTACAGACAAAGTTAAAGGGAATGTGCCCCTTTATTGTAAAATTCAGGATTCCTACTCTCAGCCTCAAAAGCAAAAATGAAAAAGTAAATACATCCCAGTTATGACTAAAAAATGAAGACTGCCCTTGGTAATGACTATGTGTGATGCTGAGCCACTATGATTGAAAAACGGAAACCCAATTAAAGGGATGGGCCAAGGACAAAAAGGGTGGATAGGAAAGCGCTAAATGATGCTGGGCTTCCTCCAGCCAAGAAATGAGGTGGGCCCCATCCGACTTGCTGCATATAAGCATATACTAAGTAGTGGATGCCCATATGTACCTATTGACGCTATCAGACTAGACAACAATACACAACATTTTTTCCACCTATTAAAACCATGCAAAGACATAAACAGTTAAATTGTTTATAGCAAGAAAGCGAAGGATTATCACATTTTGTGTACAACAATGTGCATTATAGCTGTAATTCACATGTTTGCCCGCTTTGGCTGTAAGAAACACTTAGCAAGATAAAGCACGTCTTATTGACAAGGCTTTAGTGATTATCCAGTGTGTAATGAAGATGTTTGTCAAACCTAATTAGTTCTTCAAACATTATCAATTTGTTTATTTTGCTGTATACAAGAAGAGGCACAAAGTACCGATGAGTATTATTCAATTAATACAGGATATTAATTATAATAGATATGTCTGTTCAGAGCTACGGGGAGTAGAAACAAAGGGGAAAAAAATCAAAGACACCTAAATGACCAGTTAAATAAGGATAAATGCAAAGCCACTTGTAGTACAGCTCCTCTGATTATTTTATTCATTTATTATAAAAAGAATGGAAATAAGCACCCTGTGCTAAAATGGAATACATATCAAAGCTGGGCTTTGGGCTCAACTATAATGTTTATATTTTTTCATCTTGTATTATACTTTATATCCGTAAACTTTATGTTAACAGGTTCACTAAAGCAGCTTAAAGGTTATCTGAATAAAAAAAAATATACATACTGCAGCTTATCAGTTCTTGGGTTGCATTTATCTCCTTTTCATGGCTTTTTTCCTTGTTTAAAGCGATAATAAACGTTCATTTTTTAAATTTGTATTATTAAGAGGGCCAGACTTGATTGAAATGTCTTTTGTTTCTTTTTAAAACATTTTAGTTTCCAAATCCTGTAGTTGTCCCCAGACCCCTCCCTGTGCGCAGGTGTTTCCATCAGCAAGTCAGCTTCTGAGGAGACACCTGTGCATGCATGTTCCCGCAGCTAGCGGTGTGTGTCCATAGACACACACAGCTTGAGGCAAGCCACGCCCCCCACAGTCACACTTTGACTGACGGCAGAAGGAGCCTCCTCTGCCCTCAGTACCAGGACGTTTGGGTAAAGCCGACCTTCCTCCTGGTCGTGTGTGTTGTGGTGGGGGTGGGTGGGGAGGTTACAGAAAGGCACTGGGCGTTTCTTACCTTAATGCATTATCTAAAAAAATGCCCTGCCTTTAGTAATACTTTGATTATACCTGGTGATCCTGCCAGTAACACCTGTTTTAGGGTGACGCCAGTCACTCTCAGTACTGTATCTATGGAGGAGCAGAGTTGTCACCCTAGGCCGCTCCCTTGAGTGGACCACAACCCCCCCCCCCCCCCATATCTCCATAAATATGGGGTAGGTGTAGTCCAGAAGAAAGCTTAGAAGGCTAATAACACTATTTGAGATCTCAGTTTAGCGCACAGGAAGTGACCAGGAAACTGGATTTCTGGCAAAATCAACAGGTATTTTTCTCTGCGTGCAGAAAATGTTCTGCAAAAAGAACAATAATGCAGCATTGAAGGACTGGTAAACTGCAATATACTATATCTTTTTTTCACGGACTCGTAGTGTATATAATTTAATAATCCCATTGCTAAATAAATATATATCAATTCCTGTGGTAGATATGTGCATATTGCCCGCTGTAAACTAAAATATAAAATTCTCACATCTTTAGGGACACGCTGCTGATTTAAGTGCACACTCTCGAAGTTGCCAACTCACCTTTTCAGCTCTGAATGCAGGTACGTGGCAAGTTTTGTAGTCTCTTCCAGCTTTTTCACCAACTCTTTCTTTTTTTCTTGAACCTTTAACCTGAGTCAAGAGACACATTCAGTTACAAAATCTGACATCATTTGTTGGGTTTACAGGCAGTCCCTGAGTTACATACATCTGACTTACATACGATTCCTCCTTGCAAATGGAGGCTATTACTGTACAGCAGGGGTAGTTATAATGCTACCGCTCTCGTGCCGACGAGGAGTGCCCGCCTTTTTGGGTCTGGTTCGTAGTACTGTATGTACATTACAGGAAGTTGGCTCCTGTTAGACGTGCAGACAAGGGGTGCACACCTCTTCTTCCGGGTCACTCTGAGGTTTTTACTACTGTCTGTATCCTCATTAGAAAGATTTAATCTCACTTCCTGTCTTTGAGACAACAGAAAGCAAAAGGAAATCTACCCCTAGGAAGGGAAATTCACTCCTGTAAGAGTGGTCATGAGAAAAAGGTGTCTCCACTGAAGCGTTATCACCAATCCTTGTTTCCACGACAACCCAACATTTTCTAAATCCAATTGCCACAGGGACAGAAAGTGAGGTGAAATCTTCTCAACAGGGGAACACACAGCAGAACAAACTTTACAGGGGGTTAACCCTTCCCTATGCTATCCAAAACTTAACAAAATAATTTTTGGCTGAAGTTGCACTTAACAAATTTACCTGTTCCAACTTACATACAAATGAAGGAGCAAACTCTTAAGTTGAGAGTTGTTCTCAACTTAAGAACAAGAACCTACAGTCCCTATCTTGTTGGTAATAAGACCTAGTACTATTTTTGGGAATTGCTAAAATATAAGAGCTACCCCGAAAATAAGACCTAGTTGTGACCATTCCCAGGGCCGGTGGTGGCATAAGGGGGAACTTGAAGAGAGGTGGGAGAGAATCAGCGGTGCCAACGATGCCAGCGCTAGAGGAAGTGAAGCGGCAGCAGAGGGAGCAGAGCCACATAAGCCAATGTTTCCTCTATAGCGACGACTCCTGTCACAGGCGGAGTGATAACAAATGCACTCCGCCTGTGAGGAATCAATAGTGAAAGCGCACTTCGCTCATTCTGGCCAGCGATTGGTTACCAAATTGCTTTTGGAAAGGTAAGGCACCCCTGATTGCCCTGATCACCATATTCTTGCCATTTTGGATTATTTAATTTGGATTTGCATTAATTTTGGATTGTTGTACATATAAAAAAAAAAATAAGACCTAACCCAAAAATAAGACCTAGTGTGTTTTTTTGAGCCAAAAAAAATATAAGACAGTATATTATTTTCGGGGAAACACAGTATCATGTTGCCTGGCTTTTGAACACTTTAACCATCTAAAGACAGTAATTGTTTTTACCGTTCAGATGATTTAGCCATTACCAATTGTTTTATTCAGTACGTTTTGTACTTGATTTCTCTAAAAGAGCAGGATTACGAACTGGCTTTTCTGACATTAGTACAATTATGGAAATATGGGTTTGTTTTTTAGGCATATTTAGGACAAAACCAGCAAAACATGGGAAAAATGATATTTTGCATTTCATCAATGTTAGGCACACAAAATAAAATGAACTGATATTTATTCTGGAATGTATGATGTTAGGGAAATACTAAACATATTGTATCTAGAATGTATAGTTTACCATTCCTCCCCGCCTTATGAAAACAAGTTTTCTATAATACTGAGAATTACAAAGAGTAAAAAAAAAAAGAAAAAAAAGGAAATTCCAGCCAAAAAGTACTGTAAATATTGCTGACCAAAAAATTTTGCTGGCCATAAAGCATCTTTATAGTAGAGCTGAAAGGAAATGTACAAATGCTAGTCAGCTGCACAGACTACAACATACATTAGCACAGATTGATGGGCAGCCAACACTGTGACATATATGAATCTTATAAGAGACCACATTGAGGTAACTAAAGCAAGCCAGTCAGAAATTAAAACTAAACTAAAAGTTTGGTCTAGGAGCTGGCTTCTTAACGTGACTACTGTTAGCCAAAAAAGCCAGTTGTGTGCACCATTCTGGTCCTAGCTTTACCCGGCTTTCCCGAGTTTGAAATATGCTACACTCGCCTGCCATCACCTTGTTCAATGAAAATGCTCCAGTAGCTAGTAGGGGCATTTTTGCCAGACAATGGGATGATGCATGGGTGTGCTTAGTCAGGAGAGTCAAAACCGTTTTTACTAAAGTAAAACTAGTTTCAAAGAGGCGAGTTTTCTTGCCAATAATGGTAACAACTAGCACTTTATGGGGGCACGTTTCCTATGTCATCAGGCTCATTTAAAGTAGTATTAAACTCTCAAACTTTTTTCATTAAAGGAGAATTATGAGGCGAGTGAAAATAACTCAGCCTCATAGTTCTAGCCGACCTGTGACAATTAAACTGGTCGGCTCAATAGATATGGAAGTGAGCAAACACACATTACTTGCTCACTTGTCGATCCTGTCCCTGCAGAGAGCCGTGACTGTCACTCACGGCTCCCTGCAGCGATTCCCCCCTCCCCGCTCCGATCCTTCAGCGCTGACTGGCGGAACGGATAGGGAGGGGGCGGGTACTCAGGCAGAGCCAGCTGTCACTTACGCAGCTGGGTGGAACCAGACAGTAATGTCGGGATCCGTCCCGGCAGTGGTGTCTCAATATACCGCGAGCTTTAGCTCGCGGTATACTGAGCTTTGGGTGACGGGAGGACGCTAGTTTGTGTCCTCCCTTAGGAGAACTATGGGGAAAAGCCCTGACCCCATAGTTCTCCTTTAACCTCTTGCCGTCCGCCCGTAGTAAAAAAACTGACGGACGGCACTGCAGCATCTGCCAATGCAAACACCCGGTCCATAGCCCGCCGATCGCCTATATGTGCTCGTTCGCTGCAATCAACTGGTTAATGAATCCAGATCTAACAAATATAAATTGCCCAGCAAAGTATTTAAGTTTTCTCCCAAACACTTAAAGGTATCATGTTTTCAAGCAGCTGCCTCTAACTCTTCTGCTTCCCTAAACTTCCTGTCCAATACAAGATGTCAAGGGACAGCATAGTCTTTAGCAGCTGTTCATCCACTAGCTTGGAGAGGGGAGGATTGGGAAAATAGGAAGCAGTGGAGTGGCTTGCCCTGCTAGGTCTGTGTGCTTTTAGAGCTTACACACATAGCTTACTAGCACACACAAGGGTGTCTCTGCAGAACCCTGCAAGGGAAATATCAGGGCCAGTGCTCAAGGAACTAGCTGGTTCTGCAGAAAGCTAAAACTTTGAAACATCAAGAAGCAGCATCCACTGTAAGTCATTTAATCAGCATCTTAAAAACTCTGACTTTAATATCACTTTAAAAGAAAACTAAAAGCCAAATTTTTTTTGGCTTTAGTTCTCTTCTAAGTCAAAGAAGTACATTTACGAACATGTAATACATGTACTCCTGTGACCCAAAGTCAGCATCTAGCCGGGTACTGCTCACTATTTGCTGACAGCGCAGCACCACACTGCAGCTGGGAAATATTCCTGACAATATTGTTGGGATTTAATCACACTGCTTGATTGACAGCTGACTTTGCCTCTGTAAAGCCCGAGCCAGCTGTGCTCGCCCCCTCCCCTGTCTGTCTCTCCAATGAATGCTGAAGGAACAGAGAGGGGAGGGGGGAATCCCTGCAGGGAGTGGTGACTGACAGTTACTCTTCTCTGCATGGAGAAGACAATGAGCTGAGTGATCATCGGTTTGTGATCGCTCAGTTCTCAATCTATAGAGCCGGAATGTGACACCTGCAGTGTCCCAAGCCGGTTTTAAGTATTAGGAAGAGTACATATTACTGTACCCATATTTCTGCTTTAAGCCAGACACTTACAACAGGCCACTGAAGCTATACAGGAGCAGACGATAGTCAAAGAGAATGACAAACCTCTCGGCAAGTGCTTGGCTGGGAGTGCTTTTGACAGATAAGAGGTCCTCTTCCAGCCTCCTCCTCTCAGCTTCCAGCCGTTCAATCTCATCCTGAGTGCGTTTCCGTGTAGTTACAAACTGTAGCTCCTTCAGTAGTTCCTCCTTTTCATTAATCAGCAGAAGCTTCTCTTTCTCCACATCCAGGGCCCCAGGCCAAGCCTCACTGTCCAGCTTTGCTAGTTCTATCTTCAAGTTGGCCATACTGGAAAGAAAGCAAAAGATCCAATTTTGTCATATAAGAAAACCATGCATGTCTACCCCAATCACAGCTTGATCATTGTTTGGGTGACACTCCATTAAACTGTCTGAGCTAGAAATGTTTTGCCTGCAGCTCATGTGGTATATGATTAGTAAGACATACCGCTGGGAGCAAACTGCCAGCTATTTCACGATATATCAAAAAAAAAATTGCCATTAAGCAAAGAGAAATCAATTCTGTCGTTATTTAAAATCACTGCACTAAGAATGGTAGGGAAGAAAGCAAAGGCCACCTTTTACTGTTAGCAATGCAGACACGCTTAATAAACAAAAGGTAAAGACGACAATTACACAAAGTACCATCTAAGAAAGCCTGCACAATGGATGGAAAGTTTCTGAACTATTGTGGCAATAAGTGCAGAGCACCTAAGCCAGCAAAATGACAGACAGGCACCAATTACCTGGCTCACCAACATTGTTACTTGACTGGAATCAATCAGGAAGAAGGGAACAATTCCAGCAGTTGTCACAAGAAATTATTTACACTTTTGATGTAAAACTTAAAAATACCCTTTCAAATGCTCAATCAGAAATATTCCAAAGTAGTGTAATTTTTATTAATGACATCACTACATTGCAGGCTACTGATCAGATATGGGCGACACAAATTGATTGCAGCGATTATAAACCTGTTAACGCAGTAAACACCATACGCCTTGCAGATGGCTAGTGTATTACTAGATACTTATAACATCTGCTCTCCCACCTAAGTTCTGCTGTTATTTTTACTGATAAGTGGAAGCCTATGCACACATAAAGCTATGAAGGCTATTTTTCCACAATTGTAAACCTGACATTCATCTGAAGGGTTTTTATGTTTGTTATAACTTTCAATTCATGTGACAAACCCTTCCATGTCATTCTAAGTTTATATATGGAAAGACAACTAATTGGAAACTAAACTTAAAGTAGAAGTAAAACTAGAGGAGAAAAAAGGAGCCTTTAGCCTCAGTCTAGGGCTTGGTCCTCTTCCGGGTTCTGATTCTTCATCCGCTTGATTGCCTGGGTCACTATGACATCATTCTTCCACATGAGAATGAAAGTTACTTCAACTCAGCATGCTGGGTCTCTGTCTGCAGAGCTGTATGGCTTAGCATACAGGGGGAAAAAAATTCCTTTTGGTAAAGAACAGCTTTTATTGGCAGAAGAGACTTAAGCCGGGTATACACGCTTTGAATGCCGTCCAGTTCTGGATGAACCGTCCGAAATTCGATGCGTGGGTGCCACTGTTGGAACCTTTCTGACCAGCGTCCCTTGATCAGCTGATCAAAGGAGCATGTCGGAAACCTGTCGGACGAACAGAGCTAGCAGCCGATGAGCTGCCAGCTCTGTACGGGTATCCTGACAAGGCCGGTGGCTTCTGTCAGAATACAAAGGAAACCAGCAGGCGATTCCTCGATCAACGCTCCTAAGCGTTGGAGGAATCTGTCCTATTTTCTTAGATCAGCTGGCAATTCTGTTTTAACGATTTATCAAAGCAGAAATGTATTCCCAAAACAGGAGCGTGGAGGGTGCTTAAGCATAGGGAGGTTGTTCCAACCCCTTATATCCATGGCTGCGAAAGAAGTCGCTGCCATGCAGCCACAAAAGTTGACCCAGATGAAATTCCTGGCGTCTGAACCTTGCTCTCCTGTACTTGCTGTTGGTCATCAAGTACCTGATGATTTGTCTCTATCCATTAGCAGATTGATGGCAGTTAATTTTTATTTGTTTTACTTTGTTTATCTAAAACTTTTTATGAACATTTAGGCCTCATTCAAACTGAGCGTACACGCCCATAAACAGCCGACCCCGGGAGGGACAGGTGCTGCATGTGATTGCGCACAGCAGCTTGTTCTTCCCTATGGGAGGACACGGCTGTACGGTGCCATACGGACACCTGAACTGCACGTCCGTGCTGGTACGGGTGTCTGCACTTGGACGCAGACAGGATCTATGTTGTCTGCGTCCAAGTAGGGACACCCGTACCCGCATGTATGACATCGTACAGCCGCAGCCTCCCATAGGGAAGAACAGGCTGCTGCGTGCAATCACGTGCAGCACCCGTCCCTCCCTGGATCGGCTGTTTACGGGTGTGCACGCTGCACAAACGTGTACGCTCAGTGTGAATGAGGCCTTATTGAAGGCTTCCCACTCAAAACTATTTTGATACTTTTGTAACTATGTTTTCAGTGGTCACATCTATGTTTAAAAATCATGTGTGTCTCTGATATAAGTAGCGATTTGGTTACTATACTCACTGGCCCACCCTGTATCCTATATACCCTTAGAAAATAAGTATGTTTTCTGAGCTCAGAACTATTTCTCTCGGCAGTCTCCATTCATGAAACTGGACTAATCTCTGCCTGAGATCTGTAGGCTTTAAAAGCTTTTCTTTTACCCATTCCCACTGAATGATACATTTTACACCCAATGCTGCTAATATGTGCAGTCAATGCTGTGCATTCACACAAAGTACCATCTAAGAAAACCTGCACAATGGATTGAAAGTTCCTGAACTATTCTGACAAAAAGCTCAAAGTACCTACAACAGTAAAAAGACAAACAGGCAACAATTACCTGGCTATAAAAGCTTCTAAAGCTCATCTCGTATCCATTTCACCTGGATGAAATATTCCATACCCAATACTGATAATATATGCAGTCATTGCTGTACATAATATAGCCTGTCACTGGTACGAGTACATTATAGGGGCCTACACTTCTTATAGCAAGTACACCATAACAAATTTAAATCATAATAAATCGTATACTGTATACAACAGATATTAGCAAACATTTTAGTTATTTAAAGACATAAAATAACCTCAGAAAACTAGCAGGCATTGGGAATAAATGTACTCAAGTCAAGGTTTGCTTAAAAGATCTACAAGGTGAGTGAAAATCACCCTCAAAGTTTGAGCCGACGTGTGACAATGAAACTATCACACGTCGGCTCAATAGATTGGGAAGTGAGCAAACGCATACCGTCACTCGCTGACTTCTCGATCATCTCCCTGCAGAGAGCGGTAACTGTCAGTCACGGCTCCCTGCAGGGATTCCCCCCCTTCCTCCCCGCTCCGATCCTCCAGCGCTGACTGGAGGAACAGACTGGGGAGGTGGCAGTAACAGCTGGCTCTGCGTCTAGATAGGCAGAGCCAGTTGTCAATCACGCAGCTGGGTGGATCTCGACAGTAACGCTGCGATCCGTCCCGGCTAGGGCGGTCTCAGTACACCGTGAGCTGTAACTCACTATATACTGAGCTTTGGGTCACCGGAGGATGCTAGTATATGTCCTTCCGTGACCCTTAAGAGAACTATGGGGAAAAACACTTACCCCATAGTTCTCTTTTAATGACAGATCAACCACACCAGGCGATATCCGGTAAACAGTGACTTTCATAAAAGGGTCCATATTTTAATTAAAGGAGAAGTCCTGGGAGAGTAAAATATGCTCCATATATACAGTCATGTTCAAAAAATATTAACACCCCTGCATTTCTGTCCGATAATGCACCACTGTGGGCAGAAAATGATTGCAATTACAAATGTTTAGTCATTTTCATGTTTTTTTTCTTTTGTTTGTATTGGTATGACACAAAAAAGTGGAGAAAAGAAAAGCCAAATCTGACACATTCCACGCAAAACTCCAAAAATGGACTGGACAATCCTGGGCTGTACACTTCATGTGCAGGTATGATAACACCATTTGCCTCTTTCTCATGTGCACACTGCATGTACAATACACTAAACTTCTGACCCCATGAGCTGATTTGTTAACTTTTAAGCAAAAGAGGTGACTGTTTAGTACGAGATCGGTACCAGGGTGCACAGTACAGGGTGTTTTTGTAATGCTAAATGTTGCAGCATGACCAGCACATATACAAAGCTAACACCCTAAAACCTAATCTCACAGGTTGACTTCTCGGAATGTCAGAAGTAATAAAATAGTAAAATAAATTGTGTAGTGAATATTATTAATAAATGTAATGACACAGGCTTCTATTTTATTGTACTATGTTTAAATTAGTACTGCTTTGTGGCGACATTAGCGACTCCTGGTAGAAGTCACATCAAATATCCATACTGTATCGCATACACACGAAATAATGGTTTTTCTACAACCGCCCAGTAGAGGTCACCCAACAACCAGTTTTAGTTCCATGAGAGCAAAGCCAGATCTAGAAACAGTACCTTCTCTTCGCCTCTTCATACTGCAGGCTCAGCCTGACCTTTTCTGCAAGAGTCGATCTGCTCCTCATTCCAATCTGTCGGATAAAATAAGAAAAAGATACGTACAACCTTATGGTGAATGGACAGGTTCACAAATCTTCTACCATTTGTACAGATAAAATTATAACTATTTCAACTCCAAAACAGATCTTTAAGAGATAAAAAGTAAAACTATTTACACACAGACCTTAGAACCTTTGCTTTATTACAATGAAGAACAACAATCTACTCTTACTGGAATGGTTTCATACTTCTGCAACTTTTAAATACACCATTCAGCTTCTATAAAAGGCAGCTCCACATTTAGTCACAGAGGGATGGGGATCACAAGAATAAAGCATGTAGAAAGTTCCTGACCACCCATAATGCAGCCCAATTCTGGAACCTGGAGGCGTCTGCATCATTCCTGGGTGCCCATGGGGAAATCTTAGAAATGTATAGAGCCAAGCAGCTTTTTAAAAGATGAAAATGTGCAGTGTGGTTTTCCAGAGCAACCAATCAGAATGAATCCTACTTTACTAAATTATCGTTTTTGCACTGCGTTGTGAATATGTCTAAGAAGAGAAAAAAAAAATTGGTTTAATGGCCTCCTCTCTCTGTAGTGTAGTACTCCCATAATACAGCTGCCTCTTTACAATACAGGCCACATTAGGTTATGTGGCCTGTATTATATGTGGAGTACAATTATATATACAAAAATTCTATATTAATTATACATAATTTGTGCCCCCCCCCCTTTCCTATCTGAATCCTGACCAACTTGCACCCCCTTAATCACTGCCTTCTGCAAGCCACTGTAAAGATCGCAGCAGTCCAGATTGAAATCTTGGGTGCCTATCCACCGCATTGTTTAAAAGCAGATCAAAAAGTGCCCACAGGGGGGGCGTGGCCGGCACATGGCGGAGTGAGTCGCATCTTCCCTCTGCTCCCGTGCGTGGTGCCCCTTACAGCCTTTCTACAGCTCCATTGGCGACCTACAAACCTGATGGGTACCAAAAGACACCCCAAAGCACCTTCGGGCACGGGTGGACGTAAGTCGGGGAAACTTTTGTTGCCCCGTCTTATGGAGGAGCTCTCCATTTTCAGCTCTGTCATTAATTTTAAAGTGAACTACGACAAATCGGAATTGCTTAACATATCCCTTCCTAATAACATAGTATCCTCCCTACGTTCAGGCTTCCCTTTCTCTTGGCAACATTCCTCTCTTAAATACTTAGGCGTTCACATACCCTCCGATCTATCCCATCTATATGACCTTAACTACTCCCCGCTGCTACACGGGACAAGGGTGGACCTCCAGTCCTGGAGATCCCGCCCCTTGTCCTGGTTCGGACGCATGAATGTGATTAAGATGGATGTTCTACCTAAATTCCTATACCTCTTTCAAACGGTTCCCATACGCCTGCCCCGCTCCTTTTTTCTCACCTTGCGGCATATTTTCCGAAGGTTTGTTTGGAATGACGCCAAACCAAGACTAAACTACCGCCTTTTGACGCGTCCCAGATCTGGGGGGGGAGCAGGCCTGCCTGATTTCCTCCTGTACTACAAAGCGTCTATACTAGCCAGGACACTGGATTGGTTTCATAGCGCCCCCCATAAACAATGGGTGACCTTGGAGTTCGTGGCCTCGCCACTATGCCCCAAGGCGGCGCTGTGGTCCCCTCTACCGGACGTGGGTGGCAGCGCAGAGTGGCCCCTCCTTGTTTACTCAGTTCTATGGTGCTGGCATAAATCTCGTACTCCACTGCAGCTATCCTCCCTACCCAGCCCCTTGACTTCCATACTGGACAATCCTCACTTCCCCCCTGGTGTCCATGCTTCCTCCTTTTTGGGTTGGGACCGACAGTTTTGGCCACAGCTACGCCATATTCTATGCGGTACTAGAATGATCTCCTACCAGGCGATTGCCACACAGGGTTCCCTAGACGGACGGGCCTGGTTGCCATACCTTCAACTGACTAGCTACTACCGCTCCCTACGTTCCATTCCTGACATCTCACGGGCCCTCACCTCTTTTGAACAGCTGTGTACTGCTTCCACACCGCCCACGCATCTTATCTCCTTATTGTATCATATGCTCCTCTCTCACTACTCCACATCTTTACCCTCTTACACTCACGCCTGGATCAGGGATGTAGAGCCCGCCATGACTGCCACCGATTGGGATAAGGTCTTTATATTCACGCATCGCTTGGCAATGTCTTGTAAACTGCAGGAGCGCAACTTTAAGCTGCTTACCAGATGGTACTTTACTCCGGTGCGATTACACCACATGTTCCCCTCGATAACGCAGACCTGCTGGAGGTGCCTTAACGCTGAGGGTACCTACCTACATATGTGGTGGTCCTGCCCCCTGGTTAAGGGATTTTGGGAGATTGTACTAGATATTTATGACAAAGCACATGCTACAACCACACCGAATACCCCTGCTTTGACCCTACTAACATTAATTCCCACTTCAATCTCGAAAGCAAAGAAATCTACCTTGAGGTTCTTCCTATTTGCAGCCAGACAAGTTATCGCGGCTCATTGGAAGTCCACCCAAGTGCCTTCTTTAACAATGTGGTTGACTTGCATTAACGATACTATGCGCATGGAAGAAATGGTGGCTAAAGATGCAGACCGCAACGAATCCTTCCGAAACGTATGGTTGCCATGGATTTGCTTTCAAGACTCAGTTGCTTTCCTTGCCTTGTTGACCTCAGCACCATAGCCGGTTTTATCACTACGCTCTGTTGACATCGTATGTTGTAGACCGGGCTATGTCTCAGGAACCTACTTGAGGTCTCCACCTGCCCTCACAGGCAACCTGGTCGTTCTCGTACCATACCACTGTCTGTATTTGTATCGTGTTGTCCTTGTTTTGTCTTGTCTTGCGTCCACTGATCTGTCTCCCCCCTCCTCTACGTTTCATGAGGTGTACGGAGCCGTACGGCTCAGCACAGTGGCGGATGATCATATGCTTTTTATTGCTCTAAGCTCATCATTGGTTTCTATGGCTCGAAGATACCCCCCATGTAAGGAGAGGTGGTCTTGGCGCATTACATGGCTGCCCTCTTGTACACATATAGCTATAAATGATACAAATTATTTAAATTGTTCAATCTCTTTATATGTCAAAGTAATTGAAGAGACTGTATATTCACTTTTGTTTTATTCATATTAATTTGACAAACACCACAGCTGACTAGATGAATAATTATGCAGGGGGAAATGTGGCCCCCTGCTTCTGAGCCCCATAGCAGTTACATGGTCTGGCTTTAATTACAATATCACAAAGGTGGGAGAAAAAAATCCATAACGTGACAGTTCTCACTCCATGTCTGAAGAGTGTAGCCAAATATTAATCCTGGCCCAGAAATCGTATATACTACAGCGCCCACACAGGAGAATACAAGTTTACATTAGGCTGTAGTCTAGACCTCCAATCTATAAAATGTAAGAACAAAGTCTAAATTAATTATTAGCCCATCTGGTGCACCAAAAGCTATTTTAATAAATGCATGACCCAGATAGAAAAATAAACTTTTTTCTTTATAGTGATGGTATAACATATTTTGAAATAATTCAAAAATAGAAACCACAATAAATGGGACCCCTGCTGTCCACTCCCTACAATGAGCACAGCTGTTTTCATAACAAAGACATAATTACAGCAAATAAATAGACCTCCAGAGCGCAAAATATGTAGCTGGCTCTAAATCTCTGGCAAAGACGGGAACAAGAAAGACGGGAGTTATAGAGGCTCTTGCTTGTCTTACATTCACCTAACGAGAAGGGATATGATGGTATCAGCACTTAAAATGCTGTAGCAGAGCTCTTGGAGAATTGATAACACATCAAAAAATGTATCTTAGATGAATATTTTTCTGAGACCAGAAATTAGATTTGTAAGAGAAAGAATTGGCAAAGCAAGAAGAGCTCAAATCTGCTCGCCCACCCAATTTCGCATATTAGCGTAGAGGGATTTGGACCAGACTGCAATTAGAAAAACACCGAAAACGGTTTCACAGAATAAAATCCTTCCCAAGACAAGTGTCAGAACCTCTAAATGGAATGACTGCAGGCTCAGAGGAAGGGTGAAGCAAGTAAATAAATCAGGTGATTAAAAACACATTCTGCCCTCCGATTAGCAGTATGCTTGACCTCGATTTAACTGCTATTTCTATGAAAATTTGAAGAGATAAAAATAAGCAATTTGCTGCACAGGGGCCAGCTAAAGTCAAGAGATGTTAAGAAAATAATAAGGACGGAGACACACTATAGTCTCACAGTTTGACAAAAATACATTTGATTGCTGTTAAATAACAAGAATGTTGGACTAAGGTAGAGCAGTACAAGATATACAGGATTATAAAATGACATTTCTTATACTCTTACGGGGACATTCTTCTTATTTTAAGGAAAAGCCGATAATAGCAGCCCTCTGTATTTTCTAGTTTAACTCCTGAGTGAAGAGGAGGTTGAGTATGAATATGATAACCACAACTGTTCTCCATGGAGACTATGAGCTACCTGTATGACTAAAAGCCGCTGTTGTCTGGGTGTCTTGAATTCTGGGCCACAAAACCATTTGTTTACTACAAACAAGCAGCTTGTAACCATCCTACAACTACATGTACAATGCACACTTTTTGATAAGGGCATACATTAAAAATAGATATTGAAATATAGCTAAATCCATGTGTTATCCTATGCTGCCATCTAGTGGCCTTTTGTTGTAACAAACATGCTTTCTGTAATTATTCCTCATGTGACGACGTATTTTCCCCTAGTGTACGCCCCTTCCTTCTTCCTGTGTGCAGTACTTCCTGTGTCATGGCCACAGTTAGAAGCCACATGTAACAAGGACACACATGTAATCTGCACAGTACGGAGGAAAGGCATCATTTTCTGACCGCACAATATTATAACCATTCAACTGCTGTTCCTATCATCTGCTGTACCCTGATGTTAAGAATAAACACCTCTTTGAATGAATCGGTATTGACGAGTTCAGCTATCTGACGAGGATTGTCCGCAGTGAGTATATCTGCTTATACAGGCCAGGCATAGAGGTCTCAGCAAGGGATATATTTCGCTATCACAACAATCGGAGTCAGAATAACATGCGTGTTCTGCTTTTTAACAAAGAACTATCTTTTCTGCAGTTCTCGGGCACTTTGTATTGGGCAGGCTAAAGAAATCACTCTTCTGATTGGCTGCTAAGGATCACAACATACACTAAATACAGTGTAGTATTGTTAAAATGGATTTAAAGGAAATAATGATTTGGGGTAGCAGCAGGCTAATGCTGAAAGGTGTGCGAGTAAATGATAAGGGCAGGAAAGAAGCATGGATTTGTATTAATATTAGGAAAGGGCTCTTCAGACTTTAAAGCCCATCTCTGGGCAAACAAGAAAAGTAACCTTGCAGTGGGGCTACACCCCGCACTGAAAGGATTAAGTGTTTCTTTTTGTCTCTGGGCTAGAGTAAAGCAAATGTACTTACAGTACCTAAACCCACTCACCTGGCACTTAGCGCTCTCCTTATCTCCCATCCGGCTGTAGATTGTCCCTTGGCGTACTTGGGGGCTATGGCAGGTCTATGGAACCTACATTGATTGAACATGATGAAGTCAGCAATCCTTAGTCTGCTGGAGTGGAGGGGGAAAGGATGTGGGGATTGGTTTCTCAGCTCTGAGGAGTGGGGATCAGGTAAGTAAATCTGCTTTACTCCAGTCCCCTAGACAAAAATGAGCGCTAGCCCCATTGCAAGGGTACCTTTTTTGTTTGTCCGGAGATGGACCTTGAATATTACTAATTATTAGTTGTTAGAGCAAAAAAGTAACTGGATGGACTGCAGACAGACATATTAATAAACATAACTTTTCTTTTTTCTCCTAATCAATTAAGTGCTGAAATAGTTGAAGCAATATTTGTTTTTTCTCTGCAGATAACAGACTTTAAAAGGATAGACACATCTTTGTCAATATGAATGAGAAAAAAAAAAAAAAAACTTACATCACCAGAAATATCAGTCTGTGAACCAGCGTCCAGTGTCTGTCTGGACAGAGACAAATGAGAGTTTATGAGGCTGGACGTCAAGTCTGGCTCTGATCTTCCTCTGCCTTGCTCTAGATGAAATCTTTCCTTGAGCTTCGCAAGACTCTAAAAAAAAAAAACAAAGCAGAGCAATTGTAAACCTAAACTCCCCCAAACAAGCAAAACATTTCATGAGAAAATGCTTTCTGCCAAAAACCCTACATGTATTCTTCCCACATAAAGATTTCCTAAAAAAGCCTCAGTAAAAGAAGAGCAAGCTTGGATACCATGAAGATATGAGAAGAAAAATATGGGCATTTTTGTCGAAAGAAGTTTCCTTGGTTCTAGCTTTGTGAAGGCTCATCAAACCCTGGCCACCTGCTTTGTAAATGCAGGTACAAACAAACTGTCAAGAAAAATCACTCCCTTTATATTGCGGCTCAGGTGTTTAATGCAGTAACAATATGTAACTGTGGGCTGATAAGGGTTATAGTGACCGTGTTGTTCTAAGCAAATAGTAATCACACTTGGCATTTGTTACATGGATGAATGCATTTATAATGTAGAGAAGAAAAGTACCATATGTCGCTTGGGACAAATCAAGATTTGCTTAAGAGTGGAGTCCTCTGTAGAATTAAATACTGACATTTTTATTTCCACAGGCGACATGAAGTTCTATAACCAGTAATGGCACATGATAATACAATCTGTAATCATGATGATTACAAAACCCATGAACTGCCAAGTTCTGATAAATTCCACAGCGATAGTTAATAGTGAATGTAGCATGTGGCCAGGTCCCCTAAAGCAAGGGCCCAGTAGGGGTTGCATCTGCTGAAAACCCTTTTCTAGGGATTCTGAATATTTTGTTCATTCCTAACTTGTCAGCATTAAAGGAGAACTATGAGGTGAGTGTCTTTCACTCACCTCCTAGTTCTAGCCGACCTGTGACAATGAGACACAGGTCGGCTCAGTAGATCGGGAAGTGAGCGAAGACATACCGGCGTTCGCTCACTTCTCGATCCTGCCACAGCTCTTTGCTGTGACAGTGGAGTGGCTGGATCGACTGGAGGAACACTGACTGGAGGAACAGACAGGGGAGGGGGCGGGTACAGCTGGCTCTGCCTCTAGATAAGCAGAGCCAGCTGTCACTCACGCAGCTGGGCGGATCTAGACATAATTGTCGGGATCCGCTTCAGCTGCGGCGTCCCTGCGGCTACAGCTAGCGGTATACTGAGCTTAGGGTGACGGGAGGACGCTAGTTTGTGTCCTCCCGTTACCCTAAGGAGAACTATGGGGAAAAGCCTTAACCCCATAGTTCTCCTTTAATGTAAACATGTCTTTTGCCCAAATTTTGTGTATGTCCCACAACCCCAGCCTTACAGGAGTATGAACTAAAGCCAATTATTATTATTATTCAGGATTTATAGAACGCCAACAGTTTGCCAGCGCTTTACAATATAAGGAAGACATTACAATCACAATACATTTCAAGGCAAGATGGTAAGGAGGGACCTGCCCCTGAGGACTTACGATCTAAAAGGGAGGGGCAAGTGATGCATGAGTAAGTACTATAAAGGCACAGGCTGGAAGGAGGAGAAGTTCAAAGAGTGGGCCACATCTAACACTCATAGGTGGTATTGGTGGCAACCCTCATAGTTTGGAGGCAAAGGGAGCAGTACCTCATAAATCAAATACATGTATAATTAAGGCACCCTTCATCCAACCTGTTGTTACCTAGGGGATAGCTTTTGATCATTAAAGTCAGACTGACAGCAGAACTGGTCAGAAACAATGTTTCTCCGTATAATAAACTACACATGTATGACTAATTTAAAGCAGACCTAAAAACTTTATTGTGAACCTAAACGCTTACAGCCATACCCTCCTGTGCTGGGCTGCCATCTAATATGCTATAAGCTTTCCCATACTTAACTACCAGCTGCTCAACATTGGGAGGAGCCCATAATTTTCTTCTGCCCGAACACTGTTCCTGCCCATTGCCAGCAGCCACATGGTCCCACCACCCCACGGCAGCTCTTTTAAGGTCTGGGTTAATGGGATTTGATTGGGCAAATGCAGCTTGCTTTTGACATCTATTTGAGATGCTTATGGGATCATTCAAAATTTGTTGCACGGGCATTTGACCGGCACTTGTCATACTTCAGGTCAAAGGCAGGTCAACTTATAAGGGGATAGAAGCAGTTCTGAAACTGAATCAGAACAAAACCAGTTATCACTGGCCCTTATGGGATTGGCAGCCGGGGGAAAGGCCAAAGCTGCTTGTAGATTGGTATCAGAAAGCTTTCACAGCCAGAATAGGTGATAGGAAAAAGGAGCAGGGGCTTATATAACGGAATGGCTTTTCTTCAAGTGTTTGTAGGCACAGGCAATGTTCTTCCAAGCAAACATCTGAACCCGATACTATATAATAGCAGGGTTTTTTTTTTTGTTTTTTTTTAACTTTTCCATATGAGAGCAAGCTAATGATAGGAAGTGAAACAGAAAAGGCCTCTGTTGAGCGAAAACATCTGTAGGTGTACCTATTCACTTTGACAACACAGACAAACTTAGGAACCAAACACGAGGATCTACTAAAATTGGTTCCAAGCAAAGCAACATACCTAGAGGAAAAGGCCTGTTCAACTTATACTAGCTGAGACGACTACTTTTTAGGCTGTGAGACTTCAAGGGACTGTCATGCACAATGTAAGTTCCATCATTGTAATATAGAATCACATAAGAAATGAAGTAGATGTACATGGGGTGGTGTCTATATACATTTTTTAAGTTTCTGACCTGAAACGGTGGAGTTTCAGTTTAAAACAGATTTTATATTTAAAGTTATATAATAAAGCTAGAATCCCAGAATTCTACAAACTAACAACATATGAATGGTGACAGGCAGATGGGTTGAAGCCCTTCATGTTATGGTGAGTTGTTCTGTGAAAACAAACCTGCATCAGGTCCTGCTTCTCCTTCTCTCCAGTGCTAATGGCCTTCCTTATGCTCTTCAGCTCAGAGAGGATATCCTTGGCTTCTTTCAGCTCATAGCCGCTCTGGGCTCCCGACATTTTTTGGTCAATGCTGGAAGAAAGTAAAACAGTGGCACATACTTATATAGAGTGTAAAGTACATCTGAAAAAACAAACAAAAAAAAACACATATGCACTGTGTAGGTATATAAGAAATACAAAGTAGGTGTGTGAATGCAAACATATCTTATATAAGTACTTTCCACAGTCAACAAATGGAGTGAAAAAAACATCTTCAGCTAGCTAATTGCTAGCTCTCAATTTCAAACACTGGTAGTAAGTATTGGGTGGCCATATTTACCATAGGGGACAGTAGGCCTCTGACTATAGGCAGTAGAAGCAAAGAGGTGGCTTTGCCCTCTATAGAGATTGCCAGCACAATCAAATTACAGTTATCTCATATTAGTTTAATAAACTGTTACAATAGTCTGACCGGTAAAAGAAGAAAATGTTCTGTGTAAGAGAGCCTAGCAAAGCAATGATACTTTGGACATTGGAGGTTGTGTGCCTACAGGCTCCAGTAATGGAAATGTGACCCCGATTATCAGACCATTTCTGTTGCACTAGAAGGCAATAAGGAGTGTCTCAGCCACACAAGAAAATGATCTGTTGTCTATGTACTGCAAGTATAGTAGCAGGTCTAGCTCTCATTGGTGCCATGCGAGGACAGGCAGGTTATCTCCCTGAATGTCACTCTCAGGGAAATATCAGCTCAACTGTAACAAGACATTACATGTCTATTAAAACTATAGGAATGTATTAGAGTATGTGTTGCACATATTAGCTTTTATTCCCTGTCTCTGATTAATGAGAATGACAGCGGTTATCGGTTTGCTATGAGGAACACAATTTTTCGTTCCTGTCCTTATAAATTGGCCTAAATGTTAAGCCTCAAGAGCTGCACTACAGTAATATAAAGGCACATACAGACCTTAGATCAGGGGTAGGCCACCGCCCTTCAGATGTGGTGAAACTACAAATTCCATTATGCATCTGCCCCTGCAAGTCATACATGTGGAGTCTTGCAATGCCTCATGGGAGTGGGAGTTTGCCTACTCCTGCCTTAGATGATCACAGACCAATTTAAGCAGGATAAGCTGATGATCTTTATGTCTGTGAATAGCTTCTCATGATTGTAAGTTTTGCGTGCAAGTGATTCTAACTGAAACTGTGTTGCTACTATGGATAAGTAGCAAAGATCACAATTTCTCCAAAGTATCTGTGAAACATCTTTTGCAGAAAACACATTATCACATATCTGCTTTATGTAACAAAGCAAATAGCAATGTTCTCAGCAAAAAAATCTCAACCAATCAGATTTCTTCTTTCATTGATCTGACTGCCCTAAGCTGATGAAAGGTGAAATTGGTTGTTGTTAGTTACTTTGAACTTTGCCCAAAACCACTACTGTGGCAGCTCTAACTTGCCAAGTCTGAATATTGGTTCACTCGGGGCATGAGGGCACGAGCTGGCAAATAATGTATCACCTTTGTACTTTCCCAAACTGACCCGAAAGTTTATGGAATAAGCTAAATATCAGTCCAAATATGGTGCCATATTTATAAACATTAACACAAGCAATGTGGCTTTACATGTATTTGAAAATAAATGCAACAAAGACCTCTGATTGTAACCAAAAAGTCTGAAAAGGTTAAGGCCTGGTTCACACCTGGGCGTTTGACAGCCGTTACTACACGGTGTAAAACGCTCAACATGTGAAAACCAATAATTGCCTATGGGCATGGCTCCCACCTGGGCGTTTTACAGCGCGTAGGAGCGCGCTGAAAAACGCCCTACGCCCAAAGAAGTACAGGAGCTTTTTTGGGGCGTATTTGCCGCACGTATCCATTAGGATACAGCCAGATAGCCCTCGTAAACGCGCGTTTGTTGCGCGTTTCTTTTACCGCAAATCGCAGTAAAAACGCGCATATTCCGTACGCCCAGGTGTGAACCCAGCCTTAAGGAGCTTTTTGTGCTGACTAGCTGGGGAGCGTAATGGGGAATTCTTGTATTGCGCCGACTACTGCCCATGTGAACCTTTCCTTTTGCTACATTGTTACTTGATTTGATCAGATTCCATTGTTGCTACATTTATAAACATTATTATCCATTTGATACTTCTGTTTTTTCTTTTTAATTTGTTGGAAACCTTGAAAGGAACATACAAATGGTCAGCTTTTTACTTGCTTGCACTTCATATTTTATCGAATACAGAGATTTGTAGGCTAATCACTAGAGAGAGCTTTGTATTGGACTAAGCCTCGCGCAACCTGCCTGCTAAACAATGGCTGAGATAAAGATATTAGCCACACAGGAAGGGCCTTGTTTTTGTTGAGTCGTTCGGCTCACAGACTTGCATTATAAGAAGCAGCATTAAGGCCCTATGCACATGGGTATTAAAGTACGTGCACCCAGATGCATTTGGAACTCATTTCTAAACACATCTGGAAGCACGTAATGGTTTGCTATGATTGAATGCACACCTAGACATTCAGCATCATTGAGGTGCATTCGGTCTAGGAATTTTCTGTGTCCCCGGAACCATTTAGCCTGGTATTACACAGCTAAACCCAGGAACATCTAACTCAAAAGTGGTCTGGGAAGTATAAAAGTTGTTTATACTCCCCAGATAACTTCTTTTGTGTGTAACACAGGAGGCTCCTGTGCACGGGGCCTAAAGCACAGCCATTGTATAATAGCTGTCCTACGCACATAAATGATTACAAAACTATACATTTTTGTTTTTTAAAACATTAACACACCTTGACCACATTATTTACATCACATACAGTACAACTAAAAAATAAAAAAACACATTCAGTGTAACTGAAAAAATACAATTAAGACACACATTAAGAACCTTAGTCATTATTTCAAAGTAATAAAATCTGACATGTTTGTGGCTGTGGCTTTTCACGTGTGCTCCTACATTATGCTTCTCTCTGTATATGTGTACAAGGCATACCCTTGGGTGTCTGCTTGAGATTCTTTAACAACTGCCCATTGTTTCCCTGTGGTATGTTGTTGACCGTTTCTCAAACATGCTTTGGATTCCAATCAAAATTGCTTGCAAGCAAGCTGATTTAAAACAATACTGTGCTGTTGTATTAATATAATAACAGAGTGCTTGGCTAACTTTTAATCTGGCACTGTGGTATAAAGTGTGATTAGGTACAGACTGAAGAATATAAAAATATTTCTAATACTGAATAAAAATATATATTCAGTAAACTCCCTGTTATCCAGCATCCACGGGGATAGTTGTTTAGCTTCTTAAAAGCATTCAATGCTAGCTACAGAATTCACTAGCTTCAGTAGATACTCACATCCAATGCAGCCCAGAGACGTGTTACAGGCCTTGAAGGACAATAATCAGCAGTGCTTCTACAATGATGGTGTGCTGGCACCAAACTCCACAATACTGTGTGCTGGAACTTTACAGTAGGATTGTAAAGGAAGAAAGAGGGATCTAAAAATCTCTAGACATAACAATATGTGACTATTGTGATAATTTTTTTACATGTTTAATGTTATTTATTGTCTTAATGTAATTTGTCTTGGGAGTGCCCCTTTACCTACTTCGGATAGATATATATATCTATATATAGATATATATGTATACACACACACACACACACAAAAATAATCGTTAGCTGCAGCTCTAATACACACATACATGTATATACACACACACACACCAAGGCTGCACTCGCGCAGGGACTTTATCTGCGATTCCTGGGGCAAGAACCTACGGACTTTTGCAGCAGGAATCACAGGTGTCCCCATTGAGACTGACAGCAGCCGCATCTGTCAGCGGTCCGCATGTAAATGCACGTGGTTTTGGAAAGATGATTGTCCATGGATGCATCTATCCTTTGTCCAGGGACAATCATCTATCCCAAACCGCAAGTAATAGTACCATGTAGGATTATATGCGGACTACCGCCTTGAGATACAGCCACTATCACCCTGTCATTAACTTGAATGGGTATAGCATTGGCATCTGAATGGGGATACCTGGCATTCCTGCAGCAGGAATCCCAGAATGCTTAAAAAGGAACCATGTGCATGCAGCCTTAGGCCCCAATTTATCTCCAATTTATACATACACACACACACACACACATTAACATTTTTCCAGTTGGCATATTTTCTAGATAGGTGTATTGATAATTAATAAACTGATTGTTAAATGAAGCCATTATTGTATTGTCTGCATATTGTATAATCTCTCTGTCCCCCAGCCTATCCTTATTGAGTGAAGCTACTTTTCTCATGTATATAGACTTTCTTGATGCTCCATAACCTGTCTCAAAGCAGTCATCTCTTTGGGCTTTCAGTAAAGGCAGGACACAGAGGATACAGACATAAATGATGATAAATTTAGATTGTTTCAAAATGTACAGTTATAATGAGCCTAAATCAAATACTCTAAATCTAGGCCATAGAAAAAGTCCTGCTGGCATTTGTGACCCCTTCACAGCAAACATTACAGCCTTACAACTCCAAACAGCAGACTTTCATAAGCATGTCTACTACAAAAACAGAAAAGTAAAGTTATTTTTTGAAGATTAAACACGAGAAGCAGAATAGCAATACAAATGGCTGAGCGGAGCTGATGTACATAAATTCACATGGCAGAAGAAAGACAAAAGCGACAAGAACTCGAATTAGAACCAACGGCTTTTTCTGAGGCAGACACGACACAGCGTATGATACTACACAGGTGTTTTCTGCCCCATAAATGCGCTGACACTCTACACGTGGACGGAAGCCTCAGTCATGACAGGTATCAACCGTCATCAAAGATTCCCTTAAAAACATATGCCAATGCAGGGGGCGCATGCGCGAAGCTGCCGATGGAGGACGCCTTCTAGGACAGCTCCGTAGCCTATGGCCTTCTCTCCCCCAGTTTACCCCTCATGTCCTTCCTAGCGAACCCCCTCTTTAAGCCGGCTCTGCACCACCCAACACGGTTCTCCGCATGGTCGGACCGCAATCTTCGCACCTTTTGGCAACTGAGGACCACCTCGGGAATTAAGCCTTTCCCTT